AATATCTCAAAATCCAGATACAGGAGATTATATTTTGGTTCAAAACAATTCTATAAACTTGGCAAATTGTATCAGTGGAAATGAAAAAATTAATAACTTCATTCAGGAAATGCAATTAAAAATCAATAATAAACATAATACAGTATTTGAATGGATACCTTACAATCAGTTCAACAAAATTAAGGAAATAGGCAAAAATAGTTCTATTACGATATATTCAGCAATATGGAAGGATGGACCATTGCATTATAATAATAAGTATAATAAATATATGAGAGATTCAAATAAAGAGGTTGCTTTAAAATATTTGTATAATTCACAAAATTCTGTTGATTTTCTAATAAATGAGGTATAAAATTTTAATAATCATTCTTAATATTTAATTAATATGATATATTTATCTCTTTTGTTTATTATATTTAGGCTGAAAAATATTTGACAAAAAAAATAATTGACAGAGTAATTTGTAATATATATGGAATATCTCAAAATCCAAATACAAATAATTATATTTTAATTTTAATATGGGCGAGTGGAAATGAAAAAATTGACAATTTTATTCAAGAAATACAATTACAAATAGATAAATATAATGATATAGTATTTGAATGGATACCATATAAACAGTTTAATAATATTAAAGAAATAGATAAAGGTGGATTTGCTACAGTATATTCTGCAAATTGGAAAAATGGTCCATTAGAATTTGATACAGATAAAAAAATATATATAAGGAATCCAAATAGAGTAATTGCCTTAAAATGCTTGCATAATTCACAGAATATTACCAATAAATTTTTGAATGAGGTATGAATTTTCTTTTAATAATTGAAGTTCATTTGTAGTAATAAATGTGTTAATTTAAGCAATATATTGTTTATTATAAATACATTTAATAGGTTAAAGAATACTCAATAAATAAAAGAAGTAATATTCTTAATATACATGGAATATCTCAGGATCCAGATACAAAAGAATATATTATGGTTCTCCAATATGCAAAAGAAGGCAATTTTAATCATTGGATAAATAAAAACTATGAATATTTTAATTGGAAAGATAAATTATTTGCATTGCTTGATATTATTAATGGCCTTAAAGAAATTCATCAAAAAAATATAGTTCATCGTGATTTTCATACAGGAAATATATTATTTTTAAGAAATATAAATGCTTTTGGTAATTGTATATCAATTTCAGACATGGGATTATGTGGAGAGGTTGGTAATATAGATGAAACAAAAATTTATGGAGTTATGCCTTATGTGGCTCCTGAAGTATTAAGAAGAATGCCTTATACCCAAGAATCAGATATCTATAGTTTTGGTATGATAATGTATTTTATAGCAACTGGAAGACAACCTTTTTACAATTATGCACATGATAAGTTATTAGTATTAGATATTTGTGAAGGAGTTAGACCTGAAATAAATGAACCAGAAGCACCAAGTTGTTATATTAATTTAATGAAAAAGTGCTGGGATTTAAACCCAAATAATAGGCCAAATATTTTTGAAGTAAAGGAATTAATCATGTCATTTCATAAGTCATATGGAATGGATTTTTTCAAAGCAGAAGAATATAGAAAAGCAAATCTTTCATTTATTAAAAATTACCAAATAACTACCCATCCACAAGCTATTTATACATCTCGGTTACTTAATCCTTTTACAGAAGACCTTCCAGAATATGATGATAATTCTCAATGTTTAGATCAAAAAATCTAAATCCAAATAAAATCCAAGCAAAGCACATATAATAAATTTTGTTGAAAAGATATGAATTATTCACTTTATATATATTTGTATATCAGTTATTTATAGAATTTACAATTAATTTATAGTTTTTGTCCAACTCTATAGTTATTTTTTTTACAAAAACAAAATCTATTTGTAATTGGACATATTTGTGTGTAATATTTTCTTTGATGTAATAAAAATATGATGGACTTGGTTTACAGTACAATTTCTTGAATGTCTTTTTCTTAAATAAACCTTTTCCTGAAGTCAAATTTTCTGAATGATCATTTCCAGTTTCCTGGACACCAATTTTCCAAATTATGGAGCAATTCAAGGAAGCAAAAATTTACAGAAAATCACACCTATCTTCTTTTAAGAAAACAAACAATATTCAGGAACTATTTATACATTTAATTACTTATTTTTGAATAATGCTAAACAAGTGCTGTATTTATTGCTTTGGTCCTATCTATTGTAAGGCAAAATAAAATCATGTTATAATCATACAAATAGCTATATTAACATAGATATCAAATTCATGTTATAATGCATATTATGATGGGTTTTTATATGGTTATCAAAAAGACCTACAGTGATAATAAAGTCATGATAATAATTTATGTGCCATTGTTCTCAAAAAGTCTAAAAATATTACGTCCAAGAAACTGAATGAGGTAATACTTTTAAATCTTTCAATATTATGATAGGACCCCGAGTTATATATATATATAGGTCAGGGGACACTTTTACTATTAGCTATACGCATTTCTTCAGGGCCGGCACTATGTAATGCTGGTCGTCATTATCCACAAATGGAAGTGATCTACATGATTTGGGAACCTTTTTATGTATAGCTCGGATCTTATTATGATATGATAAAATAATGGCTTTTTTTATTTAATTCAGAGTATTTATCAAACTTATTCAGAAAAAATATATTTAATGAGTGCATTAGCAAGTACTTTGGAATAACTCAAGATCCTATTGCCAAAGATATTATTATATTTAAAAAGATATTACGTAGTACCTTTAAAATATTAATTGATTGAAAAACAAAGTTGTGTAATTTATTATACTGAATGAATACTTTTAGTTGTAGATCCAATCAGGTATCATTATATTTTAAAAATGATAATATGTTATGCTTTTACAAATAACTAAACAATATATTAATTATATTTTTTAATTTATGAATATAGAATATGTTACTAATGAACTTGATTTTGTTATCAATAATCTCATTTAACATTGGGTTAAATTTATATTGTGACAAAAATACAAATGTTGAATTAATTTTTCTTCCATTTTTTTTTAATAAAACATATTACTTAATTTATAGGGTCAGAATAGGACCGGGAAAACCTATAATGGAGGTCACTGTAGTATCCGGCACACTAGTAAAATCCATTGAATTTTTTATATATACAATTTTTAATGAAGCCAAAATGTGTGGATTAAACTTATCTGTTTAAGTTTAGAGTTAAATGCATGATTTATACACTCAATTTAGATTTTTATATATTCTGTGTAACACAAAAAGGTGGTTCGCATAATTAGTAAATTTTTTAAAAAGTGGTTCGCGTTATTATAAAATTTTTTTCGGAAAATTTAATGATCTCAGTTAATATTGATATTAAAAGAATAATTTATGATTCATTTTATTTTTCAGACATTTCTGTATGATTTGTTAGA